GAAGATCACAAGTTTGAGGTCAGCCCATGCTATATAGCAAGACCCTGTCTAGATAAACCAGAACCAAAATAAACAAAAAACCAAAACAACAAAAATCTTAACAATAGGGGGATGATGGAGAGAGATGGTGGGGACAACCTAACCAAGGTATATTGTAAGCATATTTGAAAATGTTATAAGGAATCCCCTCTGTACAACTAATACATGCTAATAAAAATGTTTATAAACTAAAAAAATCTTAACAAGGTTGTGTAAGTAGTTAAACATTCTTTTTTTTTCTGCATTGTGGGTTGAACTCCGTCTTGTGCTTGCTAGGCAGGTACTCTATCATTTGAGCCACTCCATCAGCTTCCAGTTAAATATTCTTGGTAAAAGAAAAAAATCTAAAAATAAGTTATTCAGAGAGAAAAGGGGAAGGACATTATTCTGGTTTTTAGAAAGAAAAACCATAAAAGTGTCTTTGGGAATGGGTAGTGACTGCAGATTTAGACCCTTTCAGCAAATTTTCTAGTGTTCTACAGAATATAATATTTTGTTTGTAAAAATTCCTGCCACTCACTATTCACAATAGCCAAGTTATGGAAACAGCCAAGATGCCCCAGCACTGACGAATGGATTAAGAAAATGTGGTATCTATACACAATGGAATTTTATGCAGCCATGAAGAAGAACGAAATGTTAATCATTCGCTGGTAAATGGATGGAATTGGAGAACATCATTCTGAGTGAGGTTAGCCTGGCCAAAAGACCAAAATCGTATGTTCTCCCTCATATGTGGACATTAGATCAAGGGCAAACACAACAAGGGGATTACTATGAGCACATGATAAAAGCGAGAGCACACAAGGGAGGGTGAGGATAGGTAAGACACCTAAAAAACTAGCTAGCATTTGTTGCCCTTAACGCAGAGAAATTAAAGCAGATACCTTAAAGCAACTGAGGCCAATAGGAAAAGGGGAACAGGTACTAGAGAAAAGGTTAGATCAAAAAGAATTAACCTAGAAGGTAACACCCACGCACAGGAAATCAATGTGAGTCAATGCCCTGTATAGCTATCCTTATCTCAACCAGCAAAAACCCTTGTTCCTTCCTATTATTGCTTATACTTTCTCTACAACAAAATTAGAGATAAGGGCAAAATAGTTTCTGCTGGGTATTGGGGGGGGGAGAGGGAGGGGGTGGAGTGGGTGGTAAGGGAGGGGGTGGGGGCAGGGGGGAGAAATGAACCAAGCCTTGTATGCACATATGAATAATAAAAGAAAAATGAAAAAAAAAAATTCCTGCCACTGTTTGAGGCAAGCCGTTACCCACATTCTATTGTTTTGGTTGTTCTGTTGCCAGATAAAATGAACTAGCAGTTATCAACTTTTTCTTTTGTTTTTTTTTTAATATGACCAGTTATAATTTATAAATGTATGAAAGAAAGATGTGAGCACGTAATTACTAAAATCAACAATAGTTTGTTAACTGTTAGAAGCAAGATGTAGAACTGAATGAGTAGAGTTTTCAGTTGTTTTCTCCATATACTTTTACATTGTTTGAGCTTTAAAAGAAAGAGTGTCATATTAGCAGTTAAAATTAAAACAGTAGTGCTGGGCATGGTGACCCTGGACTGTAATCCCAGCTACTCAGGAGGCAAAAATTGAGAGGATCAATGTTTAAGGCCAGCCCAGGCATGTGAGACCTTAGATGGGAGGTGAATGCTGGTAGCTCATGCCTGTGTCCTAGCTACTCAGGAGGCAGAGAGCAGGAGGATCGAGGTTCAAAGCCAGCCTGGGCAAAATAGTTTGCAAGACCCTATCTCGAAAATACCCAACACAAAACTGGGCTGGTGGAGTGGCTCAAGTGGTAGAATACCTGTCTAGCAAGCATGAAGCCCTGAATTCAAACCTCAGTATTGCCAAAGAACCCAAAAAACAAAATACAACAAGAGAGGTATGTTGGCAACACAAGTGTAATTCCAGCAAGGAATGAGTCTATAGGTAGGAGGATTGCAGACTGTGGCTGGCCCAGGGCAAAAGTGGGAGACAAGTGGTTAAAAAAAAATCAGAAATGGGGAGCATAGAGGTGTGTCTTAGTGATAGGCCACTTAGCATGCTAGTGGCCAGGTGCTTAGAGCTCAAGGCCCTGTGCTCAGTCCCTAGCACCAAAAATAAATAAATAGTATTAAAGTGGGTTTTCCCCCCCCAACTATTAGGGAATGAACTCAGGGAACTGCAATTGTTAGGTAAGATTACTACTACCTTTTGAGCTATGCCTTCAATCCTTTTTGCTTTTAGTTTACTTTTCAGACAGGGTTTTGCACTTTTGTCAGCTTGGCTTTGGACTGAGATCCTCCCATCTCCATCCTCCTAAGTAGCTGGGATTACAGGTATACACCTCCATACCTGGCCTAGTAAAACAGAGTTTTTAACTGGGTGCAATGGCTCATGCCTATAATCCCAGCTACTCAGAAGGTGGAGATTGGGAGGATCCTGGTTTGAGGCTAGCTAGCCTGGGAAAAAGTTAGCAAGGTATCTCAATCATGTCTTGGTGTGCATGTCTGTGATCCCAGCTATGTAGGAGAATTAGGGTCTGAAGCTGCCCTAAACGTGAGACCTGACCTGAAAAATAAAGCAGAAAGGGCTGAAGGCATGGTAGAGCACTTACCTAGCAGGTGCAAGTCTCTGAGATCAAACCTCAGTACTGCCAAAAAGAATAAATAAATAAATATATTTAAAAATAGTTTATTTTCCTAAACAATATTTTCTCTTCCTGATTTTTGTTTTTGTTGGGTACTAGAATTGAACACACCACCTCATTTGTTTGAAGTCATGCTGTAATGCTTAAGTATCCCCCCAGAAATACTGTTCACATTGTTATGACTTAAGGTAGATTTTTAAAAAGCAAAAGCATACAGCCAACTTTGGAAACAAATAATATATCTGATATACAACATGACTTAGAAATATCAAAGTATTCTGCATTATGTTCTGTATAACTGAACTAAAATTTAGTCTAGTCTCCAAGTCCTTGAAATATGGAATAGTCTATACTTCTGAATATTTCATTGGGCTCCATGCTTAGAAATACCTTTAGTTAATATTGTTACAAAGTGTGCTCATTTTCAACTTTTGGAGTTGGATTTAATTTCTTCTAATGATAAGGAATAGTAGAAATGCATCACTTTGATACTTCTTAAGTCCAAAGTTGTTTTTCTGGGTTTTTTGTTAATCTTGGTAATGACTACTGTGATCTGTGGATTTTTTTCCCTCCTAATTTTTGATGACACTAATAAGATAGAATATGTAAAAGTTAACATTACTATTTAGTTCATATTCTTTTTTTATTTTTTAAAAATTTTTATTATTTTTACATTTGTTCATATGTGTATACATTGTTTGGGCCACCTCTGTCCCCCTGCCCCCCCTTCTCATATTCTTAAAAATTCTTTTTGGTGGGACTGGGGTTGAACTCGTTCTCATTTTGCTTATCCCAAAAGTCAAATACATTCTTGGAAGAAGTCAACATTCTCATATTCAGTAGACTTTCTCTTTTTCCCTCCATCACATATTCTTTTTTGTTATTGTTCAGTAAAGAACAGATTATAGCTGGGGGACTACAAATGTTTGAATATTTATCAAAGTATTTGAATATTTGAAAGCCTATGTATCTCTACTGCATTCTGAGTTCCTAGCAGCATATACCCTTAACATTAAGAGGCCAAAGTAGCTGCTCTCTTTTGGAGTCCAGTCTTGTCACCTACCAGTCTGAGTGGCAGCTTGGATCTGTTGGGGGAGGGCAGGAGTGGTTGTGTGGTACCTGGACCCACCAAAACAGTACTCAAACTGATCCTACCCTGTCTCAAGGAGTCCAGTTACAGAGCTTCACCTCTCCAGCTTCTTGCTTTTCCAACTCAAGATGTCCAGGACATTGTAAGCCATTCTCAAAATCTCATTATCAAGAAGTGAGGAGAGAGAGAATGCAAGTATATCCAGGATAAAACCTCACTTACCTAGGCAATCACTTTGGTTGGTTAGGGTGGTTAGCTTTTACTGAGTAAAGCTTTATCAGCAGCCATTCTTCCTAGGATTTCTCATGGCAGAAGCTGTGGTGATTTTTTTTCTTTCCCTCACATGCTGGCTTGTGGGACCTTGTTCAGCTAATACCTTGAAAATTGAACTTCCAAAAAACTCCCGTACAGGCTTAAAGGGAGAAAAAGTCTGTTTTAGGGTTTTTGGTATGCAGGTACTCTGTAAAGTACAGAGCTCCCGGTAGAGACTTCTTTTGCCCAGGTCTAAGGTGGGGTGGCGGTGGTACAGGTCTAGAAACCTTATTTGATGTACTTGGGACCAGAAGTGTTTTGGATTTTGGATTTTTTCAGAGTCTGGAATTGTGTGTGTGTGTGTGTGTGTGTGTGTGTGTGTGTGTGTGTGTGTGTGTGAGTGATAAAATGACTTATCTTGGGGATGAGACCTAAGTCTAAACATGATATTTATATTCCATATGTACCTTATATATAGCCTGAAGGTAATTTTTATTGCAGTATTTTAAGTAATTTTGTATATGAAGCCAAGTTTTATGGTATGGAATTTACCATTTGTAGTGTCATGTCAGCACTCAAAAAAGCTTTGGATTTGGGAACTTCTCACATTTCAGATTTTTGAATTAGGGATGTTCAGCCTGTCTGAACTGGGAATGGAAGTGACCATAACAAGTATTTTCCATGCCTCATTGACTTCTCCCTGTCCTGCTCTTCTGACTCTTCTTAGTCCCTACTGAATTTATTTTAATTTACAAATTTGTTTAATTTATAAAGCTAAACTGTTATCTGTCTTAGAATATCTGTTTGAAAAGTAAGCTTCAAATAAAAACGGACATTTTCCAAAAGTTTTTTTGTAAAATTTTAAGCAGCAATGAATAGTTTTTGTGTACCCTCATTCTTTCTCAAAGGACAAACTAGTCAGACTTGTATATTTGTACACTAACATGAATGCTGTGCTTTCTTTCTTTCCTTACAGGTGTGAAAGTTGTGTGGATTTACTGTTTGTGAGAGGAGCTGGAAACTGTCCTGAGTGTGGCACTCCTCTGAGAAAGAGCAACTTCAGGGTACAGCTGTTTGAAGATCCAACTGTGGACAAGGAGGTTGAGATTCGGAAAAAAGTATTAAAGATGTACGTATTATTATCTGAATGATTCAGCCAACAAAGAAGATTTTAATAATTATTTCAATAACGAATATCATTATTTGCTGATATAATTGTAGACAGATTGGAAGTCAATAACTAAATTCATCTATGTACTTATTTCACAAAATTTATTAAGTCCTTAGAGAACTGAGTAATATTGTTTCCATAATCTTTGTTACAGAAGACTGAGTTTGAAAAAAGAGCTTCTTGATGGCTTTAAATTTGTCTAGTTGTTTGCTATTCATTCTTTAATTAATGAATCTGTTAAGTACCTATTGTATGCAAAGAAAATAAAATAGGCAAACAAATACATAATTATAAGGACTGAGGGGGTAGCATTTAAATTGAGGTTTGAAGCCTATTAGAGAAACTCATGTTAGTTTTAATTTAATTTGCTAAGTACATGTGTGTGCCTGTGTATATTTTACTCTTTGTTGGTAGTTCATTGGTCCTTTTTTAATAAGGTACTTTATTGTTTTGAAATTAAAATAATTAGTATATTTGTATTATTTTGAAATTAAAATACTTAGTATATCTGTCTAAGGTTTTTATTTTATTTTTTTAGTGATGGAGATTGAACCCAAGGCCTTGTACATACTAAGCATGTGATCTACCACTGAGTTACCCCCCAATATATTGTTTAAGTTCTTACTTTTGATGGTTACATTTTAACCCAGGTCATTAATGTTTTAGTAACGTCTTTCTGTGTGCCTTACACAATAATGCTTTATCACTACTCCTTGCTGCTCTTTCATTACTTATGTTACTTGTGGGAGGTAGTCTTTTTTTCGATTCTGACCTTATGGTTTTATACACAGGATAATACTTAAGGATTTTTGTAATCTGGCATCTTTAGGTTGTAACTGTCATAAAAAATGGGAGTCTCTTGAATTAATTTTTAGTTTTCTGGAAATCAGTGAACCTGTAAGAAGTAAACAATATTACAATTTTAATGATACACCTTGTTTAAGTTCATTTTCCAATCCTTCAGACTTCTGATTTCTTTTTATGTATTGTATCATTCTCTTCTGATTCTGCTTCTTTTCTGTAATCATAAGAATTTTAAGACTAATAGTCTTGGACTGGGATCATAGCTCAGTGATAGAGCACTTGCTTGTCAAGTACGTAGTCCTGGGTTCAGTCTTCAACACTGCCAAAACAAAATACAAACACAAACCCCCAAAACCAAAACCAAAAACCTAGCACGTTAGTCGTAAACCAGCAATCCATTTGTAAATGTGGTGCCAAGTAAGCAATATTTTGCACAATAAGCAATTCCTTTCTAGGTATTATTTATGAACTAGGTGTTAACACAAGTCAGTTAGATAATATTGAATACAATAGTATGTATGTAATGTTGATGTATTTTTTTTCTTTTTAAGATACAATAAAAGGGAAGAAGATTTTCCTACTCTAAGAGAATATAATGATTTCCTAGAAGAAGTGGAGGAAATTGGTATGTTTTTAATCTGATGTGCTAGCTTGTAGAGACCTTGTATTTTTATCTTTTGGATGCTTAGGAGAACATATTCAGTAAAAATCTTTTAATAGGTTTTGTTGTGATAGCTGATGTTTGCCTAATTACTTTTTTTTTTTTTTGCACTTGAGGTCATGTTTGTCAAATCGAAGGTATACTTGAGTAAAGGATATTTCTCAGTAGTATTTTGTCTTAGGAAAAATGTGATTAGTAGAAGTAATAACTTTTCTTTAAGCTGGGAAGGAAGCCAAATATCTGTATGTATCATCTGTATGTTGATAACGTATTAGAGTAATTAAGGCAAAAGGAAAGAATATTTTGATTTTTTAATAGAATTTCTTTCAACTTTGTCCAGGATTATTAAAGCCATATATTATTTATCATCATTTATACTTCTGTGATTATAGTAGTTGAAAAATACTTTGAAGCATAGACTGTTGAAGTGGCAGCTGGATCAGAGGTTAGACTAATCTCAGTGCCTTTCCCAATGTGATGAGTCAAGAGGATGCTTTTATCAGAAGTACTGTTTCTGTTCCCCACCTTTCTTTCTCTTTCCTCTCCCTTTCTTTTCCCTCCTTCCTTCCTTTCCTCTCGAAGTTGGTATACATTGAATAAATATTTAAATGTTTTTTTAAAAATGTTGCCATATTACTACAAAAGACAGGTTTAGAAATCCACAAAAGGTTGCAAGGCTGTGAAAAATTGATGAGCCATGTGATGATTGAAAAAATCATACTTTTTAATCTACCAAACTTGATAGCTAGCTCTAGTTAAAATTTACTATTAAATCCCTATTTGCAGACGACATATCCACATATACTACCTTAAAGACCAAAAAACTCTACTCAAGAAGCTCCTAGACACCATCAATAGCTATAGCAAGGCTAGCGATATAAAATCAACATAGAAAAATCATTAGCATTTCTATACACTAATAATTGAACAAACTGAGTGGAGAATATATGAAAACAATTCCATTTACCAATAGCCTCCAAAAAAAAAAAAAAAAACCAAACAAATACTAGGTGTAAACCTAACAAAAGATGTGAACGACCTCTCAAGGAAAACTATAAACTTTAAGAAAGAGATTGAGGAAGACTATAGAAAGTGGAGAGATCTCCATGCTCATGGATTGGTAGAATCAACATAGTAAAAATTCGATACTCCCAAAAGTAATCTACATGTTTAATGCAATTCCCATCAAAATCCAATGACATTCATTAAAGAGATTGAAAAATCTACCGTGTTAATTTATATGGAAACACAAGAGGCCACGAATAGCCAAGGCAATACTCAGTCAAAAGAACATGCTGGAGGTATCACATACCAACTTCAAACTATATTACAAAGCAATAACAATAAAACAGCATGGTACTGGCACAAAAACAGACATGAAGACCAGTGGAACAGAATAGAGGACCCAGATATGAAGCCAACAACTATACCAACTTGTTTGACAAAGACGCTAAAAATATACGATGGAGAAAAGCAGCCTCTTCAACAAAAACTGCTGGAAAACTGGTTAGCAGTCTGCAAAAAACTGAAACTAGATCCATGTATATCACCCTATATACCATATTAACTCAAAATGGATCAAGGATCTTAATATCAGACCCAAACTCTAAAGTTGATACAGGAAAGAGTAGGAAATACTCTGGAATTAGTAGGATAGGTAAGAACTTTCTCAATGGAACCCCAGCAGCACAGCAACTAAGAGATAGCAATAGATAAATGGACTTCATAAAACTAAAAAGCTTCTCATCAAAAGAAATGGTCTCTAAACTGAAGAGAACACCCACAGAGTGGGAGAAAATATTTGCCAGCTACACATCAGACAAAGGACTGATAACCAGAATATATAGGGAACTTAAAAAACTAAATTCTCCCAAAACTAATGAACCAATAAAGAAATGGGCAAGTGAACTAAACAGAACTTTCTCAAAAGAAGAAATTCAAATGGCCAAAAACACATGAAAAAATGCTCACCATCTCTAGCAATAAAGGAAATGCAAATTAAAACCACACTAAGATTCCACCTCACCCTTTAGAATAGCCATCATTAGCAACACCACAACAACAGGTTTGGCGAGGATGCGGGGAAAAAGGAACCCTCTTACACTGTTGGTGGGAATGTAAACTAGTACAACCACTCTGGAAAAAAAATTTGGAGGCTACTTAAAAGCTAAACATTGATCTACCATTTGATCCAGCAATACCACTCTTGGGATATACCCAAAAACTGTGACACAGGTTACTCCAGAGGCACCTGCACACCCATGTTTATTGCAGCACTATTCACAATAACCAAGTTATGGAAACAGCCAAGATGCCCCACTACTGACGAATGGATCTATACCCAATGGAATTTTATGCAGCCATGAAGAAGAACGAAATGTTATCATTCGCTGGTAAATGGATGGAATTGGAGAACATCATTCTGAGTGAGGTTAGTCTGGCCCAAAAGACCAAAAATCATATGTTCTCCATCATATGCAGACATTAGATCAAGGGCAAACACAACAAGGGGATTGGACTTTAAGCACATGATAAATGCGAGAGCACACAAGGGAGGGGTGAGGATAGGTAAGACACCTAAAGAATTAGCTAGCATTTGTTGCCCTCAACGCAGAGAAACTAAAGCAGATACCTTAAAAGCAACTGAGGCCAATAGGAGAAGAGGACCAGGAACTAGAGAAAAGGTTAGATCAAGAAGAATCAACCTAGAAGGTAACACACATGTATAGGAAATTAATGTGAGTCAACTCCCTGTATAGCTATCCTTATCTCAACTAGCAAAAACCCTGTTCCTTCCTATTATTGCTTATACTCTCTCTTCAACAAAATTAGAGATAAGGGCAAAATAGTTTCTGCTGGATATTGAGGGGGTCGGGGGGAGAGGGAGGGGGTGCTGTTGGTGGTAAGGGAGGGGGGTGGGGGCAGGAGGGAGAAATGACCCAAGCATTGTATGCACATAGGAATAATAAAAAAATAAAAATTAAAAAAAAATAAAATTACTATTAAAATATTATTATAATAAAACCAATATTCCTTAGAAGGTTTTTATATGTGGTAAATTTTTTAGAAAAATTCAAATTCTTGAGGAATGAGTATTCTGATTTTTAAAATTTCTTTCTTGAGAAAGGCTAGAAAATCTTTTTGTTTCTACTATTATTTCAACTACTATTAAAACTTTTCCAAAATGTCTGAGTTCATTTGTTAATCTATAGCTGAAGCATGTACAGAACATAATGTAGGATTTTTTTCTGTGATCTTGTAGTGCCATAGGTGGCCATAGAGGCACTGCCTTTTCATTGTAGTTGTACTATTAGTTAATTAATACTTTGTATTCATTTTAGCAATCATGAGTGGCTAATGTATTTTAGCTGAAATGGTGGGAGAACTGAGAATGCCAGGGGAAAGTAGTAAGGTTAGGATATAGATTGAGAAGATAAATCCAAAAACAAATCTGCAAGGACTGGGCAAGTATGGAGACATGCAGAAACCTGGCTACACATAGATATTAAGTACAGGTTAAGCAGCTGGCTAGCGATCAGGAAGAAATCCAGTTTACATATATTCTAAAGACAATGTTATTCATCAAAAAGTCTGGTCATACCATGAGGGGAAAGGAGCTATGGATATTTCAGGGCAAGTTGAATATATATGATTGTAATTCCAACCTGGCAGTCAGTATACCTAAAAGAAAGTGGGGAATGGTTTAAGAGGTAAACCACAAGAGATCTGTACTCTGGGGTAAGGTTTTGATTAATTTTAATATTTTTATAATTTATTAATTTTAATTAATTAATTATTTTTTGGCAGTGGGGTTTCAACTGAGGGCCTCATGCTTATGAGGTAGGTCTTTACCTTATAAGCACTTGAGGCACAGCCCCATAAAAAATGTGTGTTTTTTTCTTTATCTTTTTTTTTTTTTTGCTATGAGATGAATTAGTTTTAAGGTATGGACTACCTGGTAGGTAGATCTAGGCTTATATCCAGAAGTGGAAACTAGTATCAACAGGCAAGGGGAAGCCTCGATATTAGGGCTATACAATATGTAATATTTTCTTTACCGGATTAGGAAACTGTGGTTCAGAGTATTTAATTTGAAAATGATTATGCATTTCATGAAGGACTGTCTTCAGTTAAAGTGTGTGTAAATTCTTTGAACCCACCTCCATTTAATTGTTTCAATGGAGTAACTAGTATCCCTAGTCTTTCCACAGTGTATACTGACTCATGCCAAAGCATACTAATGCATGGTAAGTGCTGTCCATTAGAAACTGTCCTCAAGTACACCTCTGTGCTTCTCCTACCAGTTTAGATATATACCAAGAGTTATCTGCATTGATAACCAAACCATCTATCCCACCTGTACTTGTTATTGCAGTTATGTTATTTAATTAGTGTGTAAGTTTGGCAACAATTATAAAACTATAATATTGTGATTTTCAAGTTCTTGGTTCACTTAAAAAATGGAAACTGAACACTGTAGATGACATTTATGGTTTGTATAAGACATTATGGTTTAGATAAGAAAGAAGCTGAATTCCAATTAAAGAGTAGATCTGGGCTGTATGTCATTATATTAGAGAACGACTATATATACTTAGAATACATGTTTTACGTTAAAATAAAGGAGAGAGAAGGATGGAGGGAGAGAAAGATAGATATAGATCAATAGGTAGGTAGGTAAGTAGGTAGACAGATCAAGAATGTATGTGTATACATTTCCCTCCTTTATCAGATTTTTCAAAGTAATCCACTAAAAACCCTAATCATGTTGGTTAGAGCAGTTCTATTGTGTTTGAAGGTATTGATGATTTTTCAAACCTAGCCTCATGGATTTAGAATTGATTTCCTTTTTTCTTTTCTTTTCTTTTCCTTTCCTTTTTTTCCCCCCTCTCTTCCCCTCCCATTCTCCTTTCCCCTTCCTTCCTCTACCCTCCCCTCCCCTCCTCTACTCTCCCCTCCCCACA